TATCTACCAAGGTTTAGATATACTTACTGGTGCCTTGTGTATCTCCTGGTTACGCAAAACCAAAGAAATTTTCCATAAATTACTTATCTAGTGAAGTAAAGCCAATCTGCAGATATGGGGACTACATTCTTTTGCATACATCAAAGGGGTAAGCTAAAAGATTCCACGAGGCAGAGCAGGGGTTAGTCTTTACATGGAGGGGTCAGGATGTTTCCTGAGCTCTGCAGATGTTTCCCCAGAGCAGCCCCTGTAAATTTCACCAATTGCTCTGCCTACAGGAAGGGTTGAAGAAAAAACAAGCTGCAAGGCTTCTGACATAGCTTCAAAGAGACATGCGATGTTAGCTCAGAACATGTCCCTACACCTCAGTACTTCTTTAAGAGCTGGGCTAGTATTGGTGAATTCTTTCAGTTTCTGTTTGAGAATGATTTTATTCTCTCTTCTCATTTGAAGAGTAATCTTACTGGATATAGTATTCTTGGTTAAAATTGTTTTTCTTTTCGTATTTTAAATATGTCTTCCCGCTTTTCTCTTGTCTGCATTATTTCAGTTAAGAGGTCTGATGTTAGCCTAATAGGGTAAACTTTGTAAGTGACTTGACATTTCTCTCTTGCCATTTTAAATGTCTTATCTTTTTGATTTTTTTTTTTTTTTGACATTCTGGCTATGATGTACAATAGGGAGAATTTTCTTATGTTGATTCAATTTGGGGTCCTTTGTATTTCTTGGGTCTGGATGATTGAATGCTTCTCTAGGTTTGGGAAGTTTTCTACAAGTATTTCAAGAAATAGATTTTACTGTCCTTGTCTGATTCTTTGTCTTATGGAATACCTATTATTCAAATATTTGGGTGTTTTGTAGTGTCTAGTATTTCCTGTATGTTGTCCTCATTTAAAATTTTTTTTATTGTTTTTCATAGTTTTATCTAAGTCAAAAGTTTTGTCTTCCAGCTCAGAGATTCTGTCTTCTGTTTCTAGAGTCTACTATTAATACTTTCAAGTGAGGTTTTGATTTCTTATAGTACTGTCTTCACCTCTAGGAGTTCTGATGAATTTTTCTTTTTATGATGTCTATCTCCTCCTTCAAATCTTGGAAAGATTTCCTGATCTCTGTCACCATGAATTTTCTGAACACTATTTCTGACATTCCTACAGATTCTTTTGTTCTGTCCAAAGTTGAAAAAGAGTTACTCTGTTCCATTGCGGAAGAAGTAGTTCCTTGTTTCTCCGTACCTTTTGTGCCTCTGCAAGGTTTCTAGTCATTTGATGAATCATACACTATTTCCTGCTTTTCTGGTGTCAATTCTATAGTGTCGGGGAGTGGAAGAGCTCTACTTTTCCAACATGTTCTTGGTAGAGGACCTTGTCTCCCAGTCAGAGAAGTGTGTATATAGCTACCTTTAGGTCCTTTCCTCTTGAGACCAGATGCACCTGGGGCTGAGCTGGAGAGCTTCCAATGGAAGAGAGAAAAGCAGTCGTACCACATGGTTCAGAAAACTATGGAGTCTCAAAATATTCCTGGGTGGGCAGAAGGTAACTAGAAATCTGAGGCAGTCTTTCTGCCTCAATTGTCCTCACTGTCTGCTAACACTCCCTGGTCCACAGCACAGTCTCCAGGGATAATGGCAGAGGACGGATGTGTCTGGGACAGATTGGGAGGCAGGAAGAAGCCTGGAGCAGTCTCCTTCCTCAGTTGACCTCACTGGCTGCCGCCACTCCCTCAAGCTGTGGTTTTATATTCAGCCAAGTGTTCTTACAAGTATAAAGACTGCAGGCAGTTTTGAATTTATCGAGTATACTAGACTGGTAGGGCCACAATACCAAAATACTGTAGACTCTGCGACTTAGGCAACAGAAATTTGTCTTATCACAATTCTAGAGTCTGGCGGTCCAAGATCATGGTCAGTTTCTCTGAAGCCTCTCTCTGGCTTGCAGATGGTTACCCTCTCACTGCCTCCTCTATGGTTGTACCTCTGTGCACACAGGACCTGACTGTCTCTTTCATTATTTCCTTTTCTTTCAGTCTTTTCCTTCCTTCCTTCCCTCCTTCCTCCCTTCTTTCCTTCCCTCCTTTCTTTCTTATTTTCTCAGTTTTTCTTTTATGGGAACCAGAGAGGAACAGGTACCCTTTATGGGCTCTCAAAACCATAGTACCTTCTAGCCAGCCAGGATCAGGGTGCTGCCCGTGTGCTTGGGTTGACCCATGGTCTGAGCCCACTGCCTTCCCGTGTGTCCCCACTGTCACACCGCTGTACCTTCCGCCTGTACCATTGTGGAGGACCCATCCCTTCTTACAAGTTCTTCATGTAAGTCCAGTCAGAATGGATTAGCAGCCTGCCCTGATGGCCTCATTTTAATTTGATCATTTCTTTTTAATTCTCCAAATACAGTTATCTGAGGTGGTAGGGGCTGCGACTTAAAATATGAATTTTAAAAGAACATAATTTGGCCCAGAGCAATGCCCTCATTATTATTCCCATGAACTCTTCCTGAGGAAACGACTGGAAGACGAGCTTCAGCTCACCAGGGAGTGACTAGGGAACCCTCACAAAGGCATTGGCAGTGGTCATTGAACGCAGCTAACTGTAGAACCAGTGCCAGAGCAGCGGCGAGCCCAGGGTGACGGGTCCGAGTGTAAGGACTGCGTGCCTGTAGAATCATGAAGTCACCAAGATTAGATGGGAAGAGGAAGAAGCTGGAGCCAAGGCAAGCTTTCTGATTGTCTCTTCTCTAATGACGAGGAGTCAGAGACCACCAATCAAAAGTGGCAAATAAAGCAGAAAAATCCACAGTTAAACTGAGCTGCCCCATAGCCTAGTGACTAAGAGAGTGGGATCCCATGTGGCTGACCTCTGTTCTTATACCAGGAGCTTGAAAAACATGCCAGTCATGTGTGTGTGCATACTCCAGATCCCGGCAACGGAGAAACAAAGGAGAAGAGATTATGCCGTGACCACACGTCATTGGGGTTGGGCAAGGGGGTTTTCCTTCTCCCTCTGTCTCTCTCTGGCAAGTGCATAAGCCCTCTGGCATTTAAAAAAAAATTAATTAGACCTAAAATAAGTACTGGAATATTGTATATGGTAAAGGTGGCATCTTGTCAAAGGGTGGGGTAAGGAGGTACAAAAGGAGGGGGAGGAAGTTAAATATTATCAGGACAACTGAGTAGCCATTTGCAAAGAAATTAAGTTGGAGCCATATCTTTTACTTTAAATCAGGTTAAATTTCAAATGGATGAAAGATTTAAATATGAAGGGAACCAGCAGTTAGCGTAATGGCTATGTCACTGGACTCCCACGTAGTCGACCACAGTTCAAGTCCCTAACCCGGTGGCTTAAAACTCACGCCAGATGCGTGTGCGTGCGTGCCCAAGATCCCAAGAGGAGAATGGAGGAGAAGGGATTGCAGCGTGGCCATCCCCCCTGGGGGGTGATTTCTCACTTTCTGTCTCTTTGTCTCTGTCTGTCTGGCGAGCGCACGCGCCCTATAGTGAAAAATCTCTCAAAAAAAAAAGATTTAAATATGAAAAATTAAATTATAAAAGTCCTGGGGGGGGGGAAACATGATAAAACATGTTGATAACCTTGGATTGAGGAAAGCCTTTCTAACCACAGCAAAAAAATCCAGACAGACGTCAGCAGAGATAGACGAATAAACTAGAAAATATATGGAAATCAAAACGTGCATCACACAAAGCACTGTTTGGTCCAAAGACAGACTTGAGAGTGAGGGAACATACTTGAAAACATCACACGCAAGGAAGTGATCTTCCTAACATGTAAAGAGCTTTTTCAAATGGATGAAGGTCGGACAGCAAAGTAGAAGAGCAAGTAGCTCACAGAAAAGCAATGCGGAAGGCTGCCAGGTAGGAGACCATGGCCGGGGCAGGGGTGTGAAGGTGAAGGCGCTGGATCTCACACGGCTGACTCCGGAAAACACCCCAGGCGCGTGTGCACGCATGTCCAAAGTCCAAGAGGAGAATGGAGGAGAAGGGATTGTGGCGTGGCCATCTCCCCTGAGGAAGTGTTTCCTCTCTCTCTCTCTCTCGCAATCTCTGTTTCTCTCCCTTCCTCCCTCCTTCTCTTTCTCTCTCCCCAGTGAGTACACACACACTCTAGCTAATTTAGAAAAAGGAAAGAAAAGGAAAACTGGTCCATTGCATTCATAAGAGGGGAAATGCAGATGAACACATTTCTCACCTAGTAGATTAACAAAGGTCCCAGAGTTTAATGACCGACTCTCCGATGAGGCTGTGTGGGAAAGGGATGGTCACATGTCACTAGCAGATTAAATTGTCTCTACCCTAGAAAGGCTTGTGTGGCAGTGTCTCAAAATGCTGAGTGTGTCTCCCCTTGACATAGCTTGAAATGTGTCCTGCAAAGGCACAAATGCAAAAGTGCACCTTTACAAGGTGATTTTTGCAGTGCTTATGAGACGGGAAAAATGGACGGAGAGGAGAATAGTTATTAATGAAGATCTAGTTAAATAAATAATGGTTCAGGCAATAGGGCAATACTGTGCAACTGTTAGCAAAAGAACTCGAGAGCTCTCCATTCACGGCTGTAGAAAGAGATGCAACACGTGTCACTTAGTGAAGAAAGCGAAGTGCAGGTTCGCGTCACCTCTAATGTCAGTAATGGGTTGTATCATATTTTAGAAGGGGTGGGGGTGTAATTGTCTATCCATTTGCTTATATAAATCACAAATAAATTCTAGAAAGCTGTATAGTGTTCACTTATATATAGAAGAGACGGGGAGGAGGGAGACTTTCCACGGTGTAACTTTGTATACTTTCTGCTTTTTGAAACAGGCGAATGAATTACCAGTTCAAAAAGTTAAGTAAATTCAGACATGAAATACAGTCCTGCTTAGCAGAGGGCTGGCACCTCGCAAACACTGTTAGGTGGATGTAACTTACTGGGCTCGGTTACTGTGCTTACTCTTGGGAATAAATCAGTATGTTACTGAAGAGACCAGCTTCAGCTGACTATTCCTTTGTAGAACCAGACCTCCTGGGTCCTTTCCAGCATGGCAGCCCTCTACTGGCGAGTAAAAGGCCAAGGAAAGAAGGCCATCGACTGCTTGCGTCAGGCTCTCCACTACGCCCCACACCAAATGAAGGTGCGTGGGACTCGGGGTGGATTTCTGTCCTTTGGTCCCTTCCATTCGTAGTGCTTCCCTTGAGGCTTCAGCTAGCCTTCCCATATGCCGTCAGGGGAGGTGTGCCGGGGTAGGACGACACAGCAGAACCCGTGACCTGGCTCATGCCTCTGCAGACCTGTGCATTGTCCCCATTGGCATGTGTCCCCTGCCTCCACAAGCTGGAGCATGGGGCAGGAGGGGAGGAGGTCTTTAAGACCCGTGTAAGACACGACATCACTTAGTGCCCCTCCTTCTGTGTTATTCAGAGTCATCCAGCCTGCAGCAAATACACTAGCCCAACTAGGCCATCCCCCGAAGTCATCTGGGCTTGGTTTATCCACAGGATCCTGCAGGCCTCTTAGCCGTGTTTACTTAATCCTCGATGTGATTTGGCTTCCAGGCACAGAACAGAAGCACGTCTGCATTCCTTCACACCCATTGGCCAGCTCTTGGTTCTGGTCTGGCTTTACCTGTTGCACACACACATGCAACATCCAGCTAACCCTGTATAACCTCAGTCTTGTTCAAAGGACAGTTACTATTATGGTGGCCAAGAACGGACAGGTGCCGTGTACAGCCCATTCATTCAGCAGTGCTGAGCTCTGCCTTAATCTGGACCTCACAGTTGTGAAAGGCTCATGTCTTCCTCATTCACCCAGGCACACACGGAATGGTGGGACGGGCAGGCTTTACTGTCGGGCTTTGCCGAGTTCTAGACACAGCTCTGCCTCTTACCAGCTTCAGGCGCATAGCCAGTTATGGACTATCTCAGGCCTCATCTCAGGCCGAGCACTCTGGGTTAGTCCAGGAAGGACAAAGGCGTGTCCTTTGTTCTTCTTTATCTCCTGTAAGCCCAGTGCAGTATGATACCGGCCACAGTTGCTCAGGTAACACACTTAGAGGGACAAAGTATCGTGGTGGTAATGATGTTGCTACTTCTTCAGTCCACCCTGTGACCTTCACCAGGAGGCAGCTGAGCAGGGCCAGCACTGCAGCAGGAAGGATTCCTGTAAAGGCCCAGGCAGTAGCACAGTATAGGCACTGCAGGCCAGACCTCTTGCACCTACTTTATTCTACCATCATAGTTTGAACCACATGAAGACATGGAGTTGGTGTTCCAACACCACTTTGACTCCAAGTGTGGTCTGTAGACAGCCGTCAGTCCATGGACTGTTGCACCAGTGAATGAGACACAGCGCTTGCACCCGAGTAAGCCAGCTCCATCACTCTGCAGCTTGTCTACTGCAGCTGACATTTTTGTCTTGTGTTGTGTTTGCCATCATTGACTTTGACAGTGAAGGAAGTCACAGGCTTACTAAGTCACCGGGAAAGTCATGATGTATTTTTCTGTTTCTCTATGCAAAAGTGCGCCACGACTCTCCCGACAACCCGGCATATTCTGGTGCAAACTCCTCTGTCAGAGACCACTGGCTAAGGGCACGCTAGCACTCTGAGGGTCGCTGCTCTGTCAAATCCCAGGAACCACTGACTGCATTCTGTCTGATCAAAACCAGGAATAAAAGCTCCAAACGCCGTATTCCCTTCTCGCTGTTCTTCCTTCTCCCAGGACGTGCCCCTGATCAGCCTGGCCAACATTTTGCACAACGCCAAGCTCTGGAACGATGCCGTCATAGTGGCCACCATGGCAGTCGAGATCGCGCCACACTTTGCCGTGAACCACTTCACTCTGGGCAACGTCTACGTGGCGATGGTGAGACGGGGCTGTGAACAGCGGGCCAGCTCTGCCCTAGCGCGTCTTTGAGTGCGGAACGCTTTTTGTTTGTTTGTGTGGATTTTTGTCACAGGCCATGTGCACTCTCGAGGGACAGAGAGGGGAGAAGTGAGAAATAGCCCCCCAGCAGGGACAGCCACGCTACAGTCCCTTCTCTTCCATTCTCTTCTCGGGATTTGGGGCGCTGGCACACATACATGAAGTTCATCTCAGAGTGTGCAATTATCTAGTCTCTCACCGCGAGTTTAACACAGTAGGAGTCAGGTGGGCCTACAGGTTTCTGGAAGCATCACCCATTCCAGAAGGTCTCAGCTCACACTCTAGGGAGCCACACACGTGCTCTTTCTCCGCTGAGCTGAGTCCCTGTCGTTGCACTCGTGGTGCCCATGCATATTTCTTGCCACATTTTCACTTTGATTTTTTTTTTTTTAGGGCTTGTTTGGGGTATTTTTTGTTTGTATGTTTATTTGTTTTTTGCCATAGAACACATATTGTGCTCACCGAAGAAAGACAGAGAGGGAAAGTGAGAAATCACCCTTTAGGAGGGACAGCCACACCACAGTTGCCTTTCTCCACCTCCTTTTCGAATCCTGGGCATGCATACGCATGTACCCAGCATGGTCTTCCAGCTGCCAGGTCCAGGACTCAAACTGTGGTCCGTCATGTGAAAGTCCAGCACCTTAATCACCACGCCACCTGCTGTCCCTGTGATTTATAGCTTTTATTGAAGTGTTTGTCACTCCCTCTATGCTCCAGGTTCCTGGGAGACAAGACTACTTCTTCTCCTGGGAAGACTTCATCTTCCTATTCCCACACCTCACAGTGTCTGGCCCATAGTAGGTGCTCACCAAATATAGTCGGCAAATGATGACATGTTGCTGTGGGGTCATTGGAAAAGTCATGACGTTTTTCCTATGCAAAAATGCATCATGACTTTTCTAACGACATAACATTTCATGGGATTCCATTTACAGAGGAAACAGCAAAGCCACCATCCAGTTCCCTCACAGTGGACAAAAACAAGGACCAGCTTTATAATTTAAAGTCCTAGAGTCCTCCCAAAAACTGTCACAGCCAAATCTAACACGAGCATCATGCTGTCTGCTTTACTCTTAAGCGCGGTGTCATGCTAGGTCATTCCCCAGAGACTCACCAGCAGCTAATAGAACGAGCAACTCTGGGCTGTAAGCAGGTATCACCCTTGCCTTCAGAGGCAGGAGTGTAGCTTGCCCAGGTAGCTATAGCGGAATGTGCGGATATCCCTGTCTGCTTTCTAAAGCTCAAGAGTCTATTTTTGTCTGCAATAAGTGTGAAATTTGCTACAGTCAGTGAAGAGTTCTGTCTCTCGTTTGGCTAGGAGGAGTCATGTAGCCAGTCATTTGGGGCTGTTCTTTGAGAATATTTGTCTAAGTAAAAGATTAACACCTTCCATGTGGCAGTAACCATTTTCAAACCCTGTTGATGTAAATGTTAGGAAGAATTTTTTTCATGGCAGTCTGATTTTTTTTTTTTTTTTACATTCAGTCATGGTATATCATTACAGCATACCAAATAAATTTTCACATCTTGAATACCTCTTCAAAATTTACAAATTGGGAACCAATGGCTATGTAATGGCTATGTCTCTGGACTCCCACGTAGTCGACCGCGGTTCGCGTCCCGGACCCGGTGGCTTAAAACTCACGCCGGGCGCGTGTGTGTGCATGCCCAAGATCCTGAGAGGAGAATGGAGGAGAAAGGATTGCGGCGTGACCATCCCCCCTGGGGGGTGATTTCTCGCTTTCTGTCTCTCTGTCTCTGTCTGGCGAGAGCACGCTCCCTATAGCGAAAATCTCTCCAAAAAAAAGAAAAAAATTTACAAATTTAACTTAGATGCGTGACACTACTTTCATCTTCCAGCTACATAGATATTTTTCTATGCGAAGTGAGTATTTGCCAGACATGGTTCTAGAGGTTTCTGTGTGGACTAAATGGAAGGATTTCAAGAAACACCTGGCACATTTCAAGTATTCAGGAGTCCGAGTTCTTATTACTGCCGAGACTATTCCTCTTGTTGGGTCCAACCCTTGTAAAAGCAGACCCACCCCTGCCCGTCGGTCCTCGGGCCTCCAGTGGCTTTCTCTGTGATGTCGCACAGTGAGTGGAGGCAGCTGCTTCCTCCTGGTGCCCCCGAGTTTTCCACAGAGACCTCGCTCCATAACAGGAGGCAGCAGGATTGTCACTAGCACAAAGGTCCTTCTCAAGGGAAAATAAGAGGCCACCGTATCTAGTCTGGTGGTGCCGTCCATCTCACCTTTGCCTCTTCGCCCTCACAGGAGGAGTTTGAGAAAGCCTTAGTGTGGTATGAATCCACACTGAAGCTGCAGCCTGAGTTTGTCCCGGCCAAGAATCGAATCCAGACCATCCAGTGTCACTTAATGCTGAAGAAAGGACGGCGTTCTCCTTAGGGCACTCCTTTTCTCTCTCTCCCTCCCCCTTTACTTATGCTCTAAAAAAAAAAAAAAAAGAAAAGAAAAAAAAAAGAATAAGAAACCAATCATTGTCAATATCTACTTCTAATGATGTGTGTGAAAATAACAGAGTAAGACTTACAACAGGACTTTCACCTATGTGGGAATTGGTTTTTGTTTTTAAGTTCCTCCCCCCCCCCCCCCCAGCCAACCTCAGAAGAGGCATCTTTAGAAACACAAATTTCGTAAAAGGAAAATGCAGCTTAAAGATATTGTGTAAATACTGAGCCAAGACATTTCCAGAGCTGTGCTCTGCCTCCAAAACCTCGATGCCTTTAGGGCTCTTCTCAGTGGTCCAGCAGCCTCCTCTTCGGAGGAGGACACAGCCGCATTGCACATTCTCTGCTTCCTGTCCTTGCCTCTGTCAACAGAAGTGCGAAGGCCCATCAGGTGCCAGTCAGCGAGAAGCCGTGCTGTGCGCCCTCGCCGTCAGACCCCCGCACTATCCCCAGTCTCGTCCGTGCCATGCTGCTATGTTACAAACTCTCAGAGGTAGTTTGCAGGGGAGGAAGGGGTATATTATTTTAAAAAGCAAAATATTTACAACAACAAAAACTCTTAGGCTCACCTGCCCTTTGTAACGTTATTTATGTTGGGGAGGGAGGGGGGGCTGAGAAGGGAAATTCAGCAGTGTGCAACATCTTTATCATTTGTACTTTAATTGCCAATCACAGGAAACCAATACGTCGAAATCCTATATAACAGGTTTATATATAGAAGATGTATATTTGAAGCCCTCTACAGACCGAGTCTCTGTCTTACTAATCCTTTGTTCTGTGTCACCCATCTTGGAGTAGGCGTGTGCTCTGCTCCCTCCCTCTGAGGCCTCCAGACTTGGCTCCTCAGGAGAGAGAGGTGGGCCCAGGTCGAGTGTTTCCATACGATGCCTTTACCTTTGGTCCCCGGAGAACAGAAACTCCAGTGTTTTGGAATCTTCAAGGGCACATACTGAGAACAAAAATAAAAGTTGTTTATGAGCAAAATGTCTATACTGTGGTTTTTCTTTTTCTTTTTTTTTAAGAATTATTTATTTTAATTTTATTTTTTTTAATTTGATCAGAGAAAAAGGGAAAGTGAGAAAGCAAGCTGCCAGGTCCCGGTCTCAAGCCACGGTCAGCCATGTGGAAGTCTAACACCTTAACCACCACGCCACTTGTCACGCCACCACATGTGCAGTAGGTCTTTCTGAAAACCAAGCTAATTCAGACAGTTCTGAAGCCTTACTACAACTCCGGATCTGATCTTCCCAGTCCCATCATTGTCTTTGGTTTTTGCTATTTTATTCTTCTTGTCAGAGGGTGTATGCACTTGCCAGAGAGAGAAAGGGAGGGAGAAAGCAGCCTCCAAAGGATGTGATCACACCACAATTCCTTTTCCTCCCATTGGGAGTTTGGACACGCATGCTTACATGCCTGGGACATTTTACAAACTGCTGAGGCTGGGATTTGAACTGCAAAAGTTGGCCTCACGGGATCCAGTACCCTTAACCTCTACAGGGCCAGTCCTATTATTATTTTTAATCCATACATAATAATTAGACATTATGAGGTACAGTGTGAATTTTTTTCATTTTTTAAAGTATTATTTAATTGTATTTGTTATCATTTTTAATTTTTTTTCTCACCACAGAGAGACAGATAGAGACATAGAGCAAATGAGAAAGCAAGCCACAGGTCTGGGACCCAAATCATGGTTGTCCATGTGGGAATCCGGTATCTCAACCACCAAGCCACCTGCTGGCCTCAGTGTGATTTTTCAATACACGAATACAATGTGTAATGATAAAACCAGGGTAATTAGGATATCCACCACCTCAAACATTTATCTTTACTTGAATTAGGAACATTTAAAATCTAGTTATTTTGAAACATACAATAAATTGTTCGTTACAGTCACCCTTCCATGCTACAGAACGCTAGCATGTATTTCTCCGGCAAGGCAAGAAGAGACGATCATCAGTAGGTCTTACAGGGGATGAACTTACTAAATGATGATGCCTTTAACAGGCACCCACAGTCAGCAGATGTTCAGTTGGTGTATAGTTGACCTACCCAGAAAAGGGAGAGTAATTGAAGTTACTAAGTCAGGCCCCTCAGGTAAGCTCTGATCCTAAAGTGTATCCAGGCTTCCTGGCGAGGTTGGGGAGAGTCACACCAATACTGAGCGTTCTTTTGGGGAACAGATTCCAGAGAGAGTGGCATTTCTGCAGACCCCCTAGAACATTATCAGACACTAATCATCTTAAGTTTGGGCTTGATGCACTTAGTTTGCTCTGGACCTTTTAAAGGCAGGAACTATCAGCAAGCACTGAATGGAGGCGTCCCCTAGTAGGTTTATACAGGATTGTGGGGTAGCAATGAGTGTGAAGCTGATTATCTGAAAGGAACAGGAAAGTGCGAGGTTTTCAGAGGGCAATGTTTGGGAACTGCTTCCATAGCATGGTTTCTGATCTTATTTCAGATGCTGCTGCAAACTAGGTACACTGGGAGACTGCAGGGTGTGGCCAGTTGACAGACCACATGTGTGTGCCTCCTCCAGGGCGAGTGACAAGAGCCCAGAGATGCTGCAGATGCAGGCAAGTGGTAATAGGTCCCAGCAGCACCAGGACAGGTGCCTCTCTCCATCTCTGCTTGCAGCTGCCCTGCTGCTGTCCCAGAACTCAGTGGGGGTTATCACTAAACAGGTGAAAGGTGAACTTGCACTAAACTAAGCTGCCAGCACCAATTTGGTGGGAGTGGAACCTGGAGCGTGGCTCTCCGGGAAAGACAGCAGCTGTTAGTGTCCCTTCCACTCCACATGCACAGGGCCCTGAGAGAATCCAGGGAAGGCCGGAAACTCTCACGCGTGGCCTTATGATGGGAGCTCCCTCCTGCCACAAACTCTGTGATAGGGCTGTTCCTGCCTGAGGAAATCTGAAAATGGGTTCAGTAACCTGGGTTCAAACCTTTCCTTTTCGTGTTTTTGCTATAGGGTACATGTGCCTCCCAGAAAGAGACAAAGAGGACAAGTGAGAAGTTGCACACCAGGCAAGGGATCCCTTCTCCATTCTCCTCTTGGGGTTTTGGGCATGCACACACACACACACACTTAGTGTGAGTTTCTTTTTCTTTTTCTTTTTTCTTTTTTTTTTTTTTTTTTTTGAGAGAGAGATTTTTGCTATTAGGGCACATGCATTCACCAGAAAGACAGAAAGCAAGAAATCAACCCCTAGAGGAAATGGCCACACACAATCCCGTCTCCATTCTCTTGGAAATTTGGGCACCCAGGCACATGCACCTAGCATGAGTTTCAAGCCACCGAGTCTGGGACTCGAACCACAGCCACGTGAGAGTCAGTGCCTTAACTGATATGCTACCTGCTGGCCCCTCCCAGCATGATTTTCAAGCTGCTGGATCTGGGACTCAAACTGTGAAGTTAGCCATGTGGGATCCAGCAACTTAACCTCCATTCCACCTGCTGGCCCACAAATCTTAGTCTTGACTCCTAATAGCAATGAGATCTTGAGCAAGTCATTGATTTCTGAGCTAAAATAAATGTGAGAATGATAAATAAATAAATAAAAATTTAAAAAATAAACTTCTCTTCACAGGGAATTACTTCAAGGATTATAGAGGATGAGGAATAAAAAGTAGTGTAATGCAAGTGCCCATTAAGATTCAATTATTACTATTGGCACCATGTTGTAGAGACTGGGTATTTTATGGGGCCAGCCTCATAGTGCAGCAGTTAAGCACTAGGCAAAGAAAGCGAGTCCACATGGATGACTAGGGCTTGAGTCTTGTCCCCAGCAGCTTGAAAAAGACACAGGGTGCACAAGTGCGTACACAGGATTCTGATGGGATGAAGAGTTGTAGGATGGAGAGTTGACCAGGCCCTGATGAAGGTTGTGTCCTCCCTCTTGCATGAGCACATGTGCATGTGCATGTGTATATACCCTCTGGCACAAAATAAACAGTATTTTAAAGAAATTTCAAGAGTTCCTTTCATTTCAAAAAAAAAAAAAAAACTTTTATTTCTTCCATGAACACAACAGCACCCCAACATGATCCTGACACCACAGTCCAGCCCACTTTCAATCCTGACTCAGATACTATGGGTCCAGCATAGTCAGTGTTATCTCCCAACCTGAACCTGGAACTTTCTATTGTGGGTCAGCCACACAGTGTTGCATTTTACCACTGCCTTCCTGCATAGCCTCTGAGAGTTACTTTTAAACAAGACCCAACCATCCAACTCCACCTTGGCATATCCACTGGTCAGGCCTGCCTCACCATGTTGATTTCCAAAGCTTTTGCTTTGTCTATTCAAACAGACAAAGGGAGGCCCCTTTTTGGGCCTCCCATGACCCCTTGAGATCTATGTTGTTGTCATTTCCCAGTGACTGACTTCTACATTCAGCTCTTGTGGTTATTTAGACAGGCCCTCTTCAGATCAGATTTCATTTTTCCCTTTCTGTGGAGAACTGAACAGGCAATTCCAGCTCCTCTTACCATTGGGTGAAACATTGGACATAATTTTCTGCCCTCATAGTGTCATGATCTGGTTGGAAAGACAAAACTGAGAGAATTAACACAAAGTCCTTTAGCAGGAGGCTGAACATTGAAGACCAGAAACTGAATTCTCTGATGGATTTGCTCTGAGTACCCTGGGTAGGTGTAGTGTTTTCTAGGTGCACATACCTTGGTTTGAATACCCCAGGGTCCTACATGGCCCAGTCCCTGCTACCTTGCCATACTTTTCTTCTGCTACTCATTTATTCACTCAGTGAACATGTCTTAAATGTTTTCTATGTCCAGGCATTGTGCTGGTCCCCTCCAGGTAATTTAATATGATGAGAGAACAGAGGGAGGGTGGGGCATGTGGTGAGAGATGAGGCTGGAGTCAGATCATTGAAGGCAGCCTAAGCATAGCTAAGGAGTTTGCACTTTGTCCTGAGAGAAATGGAGAAGCCGCTTCACACAGTTTGCTCTTCAGGCTTCAACTTAGTGTTTCCCACATGCATTAAATTCCCACATTTTCATGCCTATACTTACGCTGTTCCCACAACCTGGAAGGTCAAATCCTCACACTCTTCCCTCTTTTATTTTTAAGTTAACTTCACTGGTTTTCTGAGACATTGTTCACAGAATGCCATGCTCCTATAGCACCCCCGATTACCTCTATGGTGACACCTCACATGTATTGAAACGAGCTGATCATGTATCTTATCTCCAGTCAGATGTTTGGCTCCATGTCTAATAAATACTTACAATCCCTGCTCTTACAACACGTGTCTGGCACAAAACAGTTGCTTGATTTAAAAAAAAAAAAAAAAAGCAAAATCGCAGTTAGTAAACTATTGACTTACTATTAAACAGACCCAACAGTACTCAAGAGAAACTACTGGGTCGTTAGAAAAGTCATGACCCTGTTTTGTGTAGAAAAATATGACATGACTTTTTGGACCACCCAAAATAATGACATCAGTGAGAAGAGACTGGGAATAGGAACTATTGAAGGAGAGAGAAAACTAACTCAGGGAGAACCACAGCAGATGTGTAGAAAGCTGTGCTCAATCTGCAGAGGCACTGCCTGGTCTCTCAACCCACCTCTGAGCCACCCACTGCTCCTGACCCATGTAAAGCACTTTGAACAGGAACAGGCACACACTAAGCAACCAATAAATATTAGCTCTTCTTATAAGCAGAGGCCACCAATCCTGCCACTAAACCATTCCCCAATTCTAGAAATAAGTCATCTTTTTCTTTGTGTTAAGACTTTTGTTCTATTTTTGGACTCTGATTCAAAACTTGACTGCTTAGGGTGGTGATTCTTGGCCTGGAAGGAGTTTGTCCCTGCAATAAACCACTTACTAGAAACTCCTGAGAAAATTTTTCTTTAGTTCTTTTTTCTTTGTTGTATTTCTTCCAGTCTGTCTTCCAGTTCACTAACTCTCTTTAGCTGTATCTAGTCTACTGTTTTACCATCCATTGGGATTTTTATGTCAA